GAGGGCTGGCTGGTGTTGGACATCACAGCAGCCAGTGACCGCTGGTTGTTGACCCGTAACAAGGACCTGGGACTCCGCCTCTATGTGGAAACGGAGGATGGTAAGGCTTGGGCTCGGGCCCCTTTGTGGCAGTGGTGGTCTGTCTAGCTTGATGCTGGATGCTCAGCCCTTCTCAGACATGATGCTGGGTGATACTCCCTCCCCACTGTGAGGACTCAGTGAGGTAAAGTGAGTCAGGGTCCTGGCACAAGACAGGACACATGGTAGACCCTCAGAGAATAGTGCTTTCCCTCCTTCCTGCAGAGCCAACGTTTGAGGTGCTAAGAGAGTGAGCCAGTGTTTTTCTTCCCAAGAAATAGCAATTCTGTCTACAGAGGAACCTTCTACACTGGAGTTCCCGCCCGGGGTGAAGTGATGAAACCCTCAGGCTTGGAGGCACAGAGGCCAAGTTTAACTCCCAGCTCTACAACTTTCTAGCTTGGTGATCTTAGAGGCTCCTTACCTTTCCAAGCCTGTTTTCCCTGTGTGAGATGAGACAGCTCACCCATCCATTCAGTGGGTTTGTTGGGAAGATGGAAAGGCGTCCGGTGGGCACGAGATTGGTGTGTCTGAGGAACGTCCAGAGTGCTTCCCTGGCTGTAGCTGAGCTGCTGAGGGAGAGATTGGAAGAGATGAGACAGGTCAGAGGGGTGGGTGTGAGTTACAGAAGACCAGGGCAAGGTGTTTGGAATTTTCAGGGTAGTTTGTTTTATTTAATGGCACCGGAGGATGACAAGGTCTGACAAGGTTTTTCAGAAAGAACCCTCTGATATGCTGCCCAAGGAGGGGGAACATAACCCACCACCCCTAAGTGTGGGCTGTGCTTAGTGACTGCTCCCAAAGAACACAGTATGGACTGGGATGGGAATGTAACTAACTCTAGTGGAGAAAGCTGCCGACAGGGTCTCAGCAGGTGACCTAGGGTCACAGCCACATGATATGCCACATTGACTGTAGGTACCCTGGATGTGATCTTCCTTCTAAAACCCACTAGCTCCAGTCTAACCATGAGCAAAGCACCAGACAAACCCAAACAGAAAGACATCTACAGAATAGCTAATGTTTTCTTTTCATCATTCAACAGTAATTGCTCTATTCACTCTGTGTTTTTTTTTTTTTGGTTGTACACAAAAACACTCAGGAATATATAATCATTTAAACAACACAAGGGCACATTCTGAAAGCCTGCCTTCTGGCCATCAGCATTCAGTCTTTCTCTTTCCATGAGTCTAGATCCTCATCTGCTCTATCTCTCCGTGTCATCTCTCTGCCTCCATCTCTGGTGTCACTGCTTCTCTGGATAGGGTCCCACATTCCACTCATGTTCTTCTCCCTTGATGGTCTTAGGGTCCTCTGTTCCTGGAATGTAAGATTAGCTACTCCCTGCTTTTTGTT